TACATCCCTTTAATATCTGTCCGCCATTGTCTGAAATTACTGTAATTATGATGACAATTTTAAAGCGAAATGTTACGGCAATACACAGAAACATCAAAAANTACAGCCTCATCCATGACTGCCACCATACCTGTTAATTATACAATAAAAAACGATTGTAAACAAAAGAAATCACCCAAACATATTGACATTAATTTGAATTCATGAAAATTTGAGAAAGTGTATATTAATACATGCAAGCATTAATCATAAAAATAGTTGTCGTCCTTTTAAGTGCTTTTTATTCTTTAAATAAAAAGAACTTCCCTTGGAGTATGCAAAAACAAAAGATAATGTTACCATGGAAAATGATTAGCTGAATAATTGTTAGACAGACAGATGGCCAATCTAACTATATAAACAGCTGAACTTATTAAAAAAAAGGACGGAATCAAAAACCATATCCTAGAAACTCTAGGAGTTGAGAGGTTTTACGCTCACTTTCGCTTTGTGCACCTTTATGTCATAGCGAAAATGCAGGCACGCGACCAGCTATTTGATTTGTCCCCGATTAAAACAAACCCCTGACCAATTGCAAGCCGACACCTGGCATTTGAAGATTACAGTCAGTCAATTTTAACGTTAAACGATCGGCAGATTATTTCGATATACATTAAAGGATCAAACTTAACTGTTCGTTTCATGCGCAGGGTGGTGCAAACTGAGCTTCGATTTCTGATTTATTCCAAGGATGCAGAGAGCGAAAGTGAGCGTAAACCCTGGAGTATCGAGGATCATCAACAGCTTGCTAAACTATTAATTATAACTGATTTTTGTAACTGATAATTGCGCATAGATTCAATTTCTATGACATTCTATTACTGACCTGCATATGAGCATATTTTTTCTGTAATTTGATGGAACATCCAATGGTCCGTGGACAGCCTGAAATGCTAGATACAGAAACATAGGCTGAAAATAATGACAAAATGTTATTGCATTTTATGTATTCCTGCCACATAAAATCGTCAATGTCTATATGTTGCACTGATCAAAAGAGGATTTATCATGATCGATCTCATCTCACATATAATCACAATAACCTTGAGCTTTACACGAACTAATAATAACCACAGCAAGCTCACAAAGAACCTCACAGTAGCAAATCGATAAAAGGTAAGTATACTGATGAGAAAAGCGTATGAAGAAACAAAAGTGGTCCATGGGGCATGTATCATATAAGTAATTGAAATTGTTCTGGTCGTGTAAGACTGTACTAGTCTTCTGAAATTGACATGTACATGTATTACAAACTCAACACAATCACATCAAATATGCATTTATTTGACTTTGAACTTGTTTTCAGTAATTTGTAATTGGATGCTCAGTAAGTTCTGTGAAATCAAATATGATAATGTGGTCTGTTCCTCGGCCTTAAAACATACATTTGTTTCCAGTTAACATATCCTTACTTCTTGTGTATTGATATCGGTGCTTGCATATATCCTACTTGTTTTTAGCCAGTTTTCAACATAAAAAAAATTAACCCAGAAAGTCTGATTCATATATCCATTGCAAAAATTATATAAATTTGTATTTAAAAATGCCTATCTTCCCAGTTATTTGTCCCGTATTTCTACATTTCCTACGGGAAACATGTGTTTATATATTGGTCATTAAGGAAAGAAGGTCGAAACTGACAAATCGGCGTTGAAGTTGAAGTTACTCGACCAATATTTCAAAAAATGTTTGAAAAATAAAGGTTATGAGTACATATTTGAAATATATGTTTACCATAGAACGTGTCAAAACCTCTGTTGTTAGGGAGGTATTCCTCTTTGTAGAAGTCCATGTGCCATTTTCCTGCAGCGTGCGTGCGTGGAGTTTCCAGCCTCCTCATCTTGTCTGGCAGAATGGGGCTGTTCTTTGCAAGGCATTGGACTGGGTTGGCCAAATAATACTGTGTTGCAACCCAGTATGGATCTGCGAGTTATATATAACAATGTACTGTTATACTATTATCATAATAGATGTTGAATATGTATAAGGATATGCATAACCATAATCTTTATGACAGTCTCAGAATTCAAAAATTCAGTTCGGATTCTAAGAAAATGTAAGCAGTAAACGTTTAAGAGCAAAACATTAAGGCTCATTAAAGTACAGATTATAATAAAGAAGCAGCCGAGATGCACCTTACAACCCAATCCAGCTCATAGAGACAATGTTTGCCTACTGAAATTGACATCAACAGTTTAACTGTAAGCCTATATAATACAAACAAATAATAAAACACCAACAACGTCCAAAGATTTGCTCTTACCATACAACAGTGGATCAAGACTTTTTACGCAAATATTACAAGTTACGTTTATATGATAGGTCATGGATCAACATATTTAAATATACAAAGAGTAGTCCAAAAATGAGACCAATTTCCCCCATATTTGATCGTCTAATTCGTGGAATTATAACCAGGTACATTAACAATTAATTAATATAAATAGCTTATATCAATCACTCTTGTTGGTTCGGATGTCAGTGCGCAGGGGGTTTAACGTGGTAGGAAACTGGAGAACCCGTAGAAAACCCACGTGGTGGTGCAGGTGACACCATACCTCTTCACGTCCGATCGGGGAATCGAACCCCGGCAACCTTGGTAAAAGACGAGTGATTTACCTATTGCGCCACCCGACCACCAAAATTTAGATAATTATTGACCACTCTAAAAGTACATTTCAAGTAATATGAAGTTAACTTAAACTTTGTTTAGAAGACGACGAATAATCTCTCAAGGAATTATTTGTGACTTTAGATCGTTTTGCTTAAATTTCTGGAATAATTGTCAAATACCATGAAGAATGGCTTGGGATGAAGAATGGTTTTAGGAAGGAATAGAAGCAGCATAGCGTTATATTTGTACCGGTAAATATAGATAGTTTAACTGATCTACTTTCAGATTGTCCTCATATCCATTCAACATGGTCATTTATTAAGGGAACAATTTTTATGTGAAAGAAGATAACTCTTTCAAACTGCCTTTCTGACTTATTATTTTATATTCTGTTGGTTTATTATGTGTGTGTTTTGTGTGGGGGGGCGGGGAGCGGGGGGATATATATATATATATATATTGTAACTGTGTTTTGGACGTTCTAGAATGGTAGGATACACCATGTCATAAGACAAAGTTGCAAGCTTGGCTAAATGGTATTATCATGGAATGCTATATTATGCCAGGAAGTCATTGCACATATCTTATATCAATAACCATAATATGTCAGTGCATGTTTACAGCAAACCTCATATACTTGCATATGAAACATATGACATATTATGCAAGCTGTTGATGGAAATAACAAATTGTTCACCACAATAATATCAAATAGTAATTAAATTAATCTGTAATGTTAATGAAAATGACATAATTCAATATATCAGACATTTTAGCAGATACTTTCATTTTGCTTCTCATGTATAATGAATACATCGGAACTCTTTACCTAAAAGACATCACACAGTCGAGATATCTGAGACTGAAATTGAAGTTTTCGGGTATCTTTATTGATAAGCTTACCAATGAATTGATATTGAAACAAGCGGCAGATAGAGGGACTCAGTATGTTCCCACGGGAATGAGAACAGTCTGCTTAAAAATTTGTCTCTGCATTCATCAAAAACATTCTCACGATGTCATCCTAATTTTATTTCAACATGTACCCTTGTTTTGTTTTTCAAAAATATATGTTCCAAATATTTACAACTTTATATCTCTTTCGCCATTACCGTCCTGAAATAAAATAGGGTTTAAGTATATGTGTGGTTACGTGCCTGAAATATAAAGAAACAGTTGATTTGCTAGTTTAGTTTTGCCTTCGTGTAATGATCTACATTGTTACGTTTGCTATCGGCTTATCCACCTTGTGTTTTACAGTGTGATAACTAAATAAATGATCATGCATTTCACTTAATATTTTGACAAAGGTGCAACATATGCAAATACGCGCTTCATGTACATGTAGTTATATTTCTACGATACACATTTTCTATATTTTTGAAAAAGATCACAGCAAAGTTAAACATTTTCTTGCCAACGGTTCTGTTGCTGGTTAATGGTAGTTAATGTGATTCTATACTCGTCAAATAAATATAATCTAACAGCTGTGTTAACATTTTAAAGATAAAAAAACGTGATATATAAAGCGGTATCTGAGTGTTGGGTACATAGATGTAGCTGGTGTGATAAGAAACATCCTACTAAGTGAGCGACTTGATGTCCAGGATTGTCATTTAAAGGAGATACATCATTATGGTATAGGTAACATTTGCTCTTCTAATGGCACATTCATTCGGATATCAATATGTTTTCCTGTTCGTAAGAGGTATTTTCTAAAAAGAAAATCTGCCCGAACTGAAACTCCAGTTTATTTAGAAATGCAGAAACGAAAGCTATTGTACAAATATTGAGTATCACCAATGTATATACTTTATATAGATGAACATTAAAGTACTTTTAGTTTTAGTATGGGTCGAAACATAATTATCGAAACCTTTGGGGCAATGTTTGGCGTTGCATATCAACACGCGCTAGTAAAATGATTAGTCATTTGCATGGAAAGCACATGTTATAATGATGTTTTTTTCTTAGAATCAACATGACAGGAAGTGTACCTGTTACATTTGAAATGCTCGTAACAATATAGTGATAAAGTATATGTATTCCGAATGGTAGACGAGGTATGCAACACGAGCTTGTGCTGCGGGAGGCATTTCGTGATCGAGACTATATAGGGAGTTAGGCAAGTTACAAAATCCTATTGCAAGTATCTGTTATTGAAAGCAATTATTTCAGTCATTGTTGAAGTGTTTCGACCTATTGAACTTTAATGTCGATCACCATAACACTTGCTTCGGGTTTTCTACACAAATACTTGAAAACCTACCAAATATAAAACTAGAGATATATACAACAAGTTAAACGAGCTCCCATTTACCTCCATTTCTACTGTTATATATTACAGACGAGTGCTCAACAGTGTGACGGCCTGTGGTATCCTCCTGTGTTTGGTTGTGTATTTATATACATATAACTTCTACACAGGTATATCGAGGCCTCTACCGGACATCAGACCGATCCTTAGCCATAGAATGATTCTAGATGCATCAGCGGAGGACAACTATCATCAAAAATATGTCTGCTCTAATCAGACACATCGGAATAAAGTCGAGGACATTCTGTGCATGGTAAGAGGTATTGAAGTATACTAATAGACAAAATTGGATGTTACATGCTGTGAAATTAATTATTTTCATCGGATGTAAATACTGAGGTTGCCCAAAAACATTTCGTAGATACATGAATTCGTGAATTACGAATACTCACTAATACAGAAAATAGCTTTATGTTAATCCTATACTTACTTCGTGGACTCATGAATTCGCGGATGTAGAGTACCCACGAAATCAACAAAATTATAAACCCAATGAAATGTTATGTTTTCATAGGGTCTGATACCCTTTGTTATAAATGATGATAAGTCAAAGTTCCGAAATTCGACGGCAACTAAATAAATGTGAAGTGGTTTTAGCATTAACACAAAGCATGCTTCATACAATAGATACTGTTGCATACGTGTTCGTTTTTCCCCGTCAAAATCCCTTTGTCGATATTAGAATACCAGCAGCCGGGGCCTGATAATGGAGTCAACATGTACCTGTTACATACGATTGTATGCGTCACAACAAACACTAAGCCATGGTTTCTTTCCGGAGTGGGGAAACGTTACGGTCGTCAATATGCCCTATTTTCTGCTATGATATTTTAGGGGGTTTTTCACGATACAATACATGTTCCATATTTCTTAAACCATTTCTGACCTATCTCTTTCCCTGGATTTGGTTGAAAAAATTATAACGGATGTCTCATGTTGAAAGTGATTACCCTTCCGGACACCTTGTATACCAGCAGTTGTAATAATTTCATGACGTATATCCGGTTGTTTCGGAACATCTTTGGTTCCTGTTAGTTTCTTGTATTATCGCCTCTTGAGTTTAGATTTCGTCCTTAAGTGCTGATACTACGGTGCGTACAATCCATTTTCCCACTTTCTCTTTATGTTAATGTAACAAATGTGTGTGTGGTTTATCATATTCCAACGCCCGTTTGAATGGCCTTAGTTCATCGCATTCAAATATACATATTTGTTAAATAATTTCGTTTTGCTATAATGGCTTGTGATTAGGTTGTCACAAACATTTTTTTCGACATCACATAGCAGTTAAGATTTGTTTAAAAAAAAAAAATCAAATGTGTTTAAATCAAACGCTTTTTATGAAGCGGAAGAAGTACATGGAGTCATTACATGATTCACATGCAGGGCACGTTATAGAGATTCATGGCGTTTTATAACACACTTAGGGTCCTCCGAACACCATCTCTTATTATACACAAACCAATCGTTATGAACACAATTTTACCCTGCATTTCTTTCGTTTATGTCTATAAAAGCAGGATACTATTGGATATATTTTCAATTGCATACCGACGTGATGGTACCCACATTGGGATGCTTGATATTTCCTTGTAATATCCGTTAATGACAGTGTTGTACACTTTTATAAGCTCAGCTAATCCAATTTAAAACCAAACAGATTCTTGATTTGTAGGTAATGAAAAAAGTTTAACTTCAAATGAACCAAAAATCAAACCCTATTATCTTCTTTAACGTAGATCGTACATAAAAAAAATATTTTCTACTCAAGAGTGTGGATGTATAATAGTTTAATTTGCAAGATGAAAACAAAAAGTCCTTCGATCCGTTATCTGAGATTACAACGGCACCAACGGGAAACGGAACTTTCTATGTCTAAGTTAGTCAGTTGCCCTTTTCTATAACACACAAGTAGTATATGTCGATAGAACAAATACCTTTGCACTACAAGACCCATCTCATCGCGTGAGTAGACCAATATATATGTTACGGCATGTAGCGTTAGAGTAACAACGGTTCCTTCAGCGGCGAACACCATCTCCTGTCGTACTGCCGAGGCCTGCATGTCACGAACGTACTGTCGAGCTGAAACATGACTTTGCCTTGCAGACTGCTTTAATGATCTCATAAAGCCATACCAAAGAATGACACACATGCGACAAATACTGACAGAAACTTCCATTGATTGAGTATACCGCATGTCATTTTTCAAAATATGGATTTTTCCTCGGCAACTAATATCGGATCCCTTTGAAAATGTCTTGAGTAGAATGTAAGGAAATATAAAAGAGAAACAGAGGCTTGGATCTTTACATGTTTTATACTACATACATTGTGTATAATCAGAATATACACAATTTTGATACAAGTTTGATACCAAATATAGCACGCACATCCTCTATATACATAGGTATCTGTGTATATGAATGTAGGTATTTCATTGCAGATATAATGTTCATGAAGTACTGTTTGACTTCGGCGCCTCTCTTGTACCGTGATGTGTTCTGGTTTGTAAGGTAGCGTACTGTCGTGAGCATAGACTGTCTAGATCATATACGATATCATGAAACACATTTGTCAGTTCAAGGACAACTCTTAAAATGTGAGTTTGGGCTAGTACCATCTTATTGTTCTTGCTATTCTTAATCCTGGTGGCATGTTCTGTCAAATCATTTGAAGATATCATTTAAGATTAGGTATTTTGTAATTAATATAGAGATATTTAATCTGTTTGAAATATAAAAACCATTTTTGTTGTATTATCCTGTTCTTTAATTTTGTTATATCCAATATCTTATACAAATTTGCACTAAATCGAATATTCACATGATGATGCTGTTTCCCATGATTCAATTCTTCCTTTGTAATCCAGACAACGTGTATACATCACTTGTGATTTTTTCAAATATATGCGTATATCTTTAACGTTTGCAGA